CCCCGCCCCGCCCCGCACCCCAAGTACGTACTGTGTTAATTACCAGCAGCATACGTGCTTTGCTTTCTTCCTGGAAGGGATTTAGACTTAGGTGTTGGATGATTTGTTAGCAAAATGCTGTGTTTACTGAGCACGCTACTTATATGTTCAGCTCCAGATTAACCAGTCGATCATTTTCTGCAACTCCTCTCAACGGGTTGAATTGCTAGCCAAAAAGATCTCCCAGCTGGGCTATTCCTGCTTCTATATCCATGCTAAAATGAGGCAGGTGAGTATGAAGTTAACAGCGGTTTATTCCACACCACCCCAAGCTTTACTGCGTAGCCGAATTAAGTCTCGTGCTTGCTTTAAATTTGCACGTGCTTTGGAAACGGGTATTTCTTTCTTACCCACTTGTTCTCAGACTTCTGCCCCTCAGCCTCTTTCTAGATTCTTCAGTGTAGCTGGTTGCTTGATATTCAGGAGTACTTCAGGTCAGCTTAATTAGTCCGGCGTAAGCACGGCCACAGCCAGAAGGCACAGTTTTTATTGCTGCTGCCTTGCTTTCGCCGGCATGGGGAGCCATGGTAGACCGCACAGCGTAAGCAACGGAAATGAAAGCGAGCCTGATCTAAAAGAAGCGACAGAATATCCAGTACTTGGCCTGTTTAATGCCCTGCCTGGCTTTGCAAACAGTAAATCGTGCGCTGTGACTGCAGGGGAATCTGAGAAGTTGGGAAGGTGGCTTCGATCAAACCTCGTGTTGAAAGCTGCGTGTGGCGGCTGAGCATCCGTGGCCTTGGCGTAGATGGTGAAAAATGCCAGTGCAGCTTTGCTGGTGCAGAGGCTTCTGTTAATTGCATGTGAGCTCATGTGTCCTTGAGCTTCGTACCCTTGTTTTCAGCCAGCGTTCTGTAAGACCTTGTCAGAAGATTGAAGTGGTGCCTGTGAAACAGTAGTACTTTAAAACGAAACACTTTTTAAATTTCATATGTAAGCTAGAATAAATTCAAGTGAAAGCTATAGGGGAGACCTGGCTTGCTGTTCATGGAACTGACAAGTAATGTCATTTGTTTGCTGGGCTGTATGCAGACCAATAATTAATTGAGCAGAAATAGAAGTGGCGTCAGTATTGAGAACAGAGAGACACACAAATGGGTTCCTTGAAGTCTGAGGGTTTTTTTTTGTATGCTTTTGATCGGTTGGTAAATGATCTTTGTGATGAAATGCAGGTATGTTTGTGCAGAAACCTTTGACTTGTTCTTTCCTGCTCTTAACTGCACTTCGTAACGGTAATACTACTTAATCCTTGTGTGGCCCAAAGAGACGTGTTTATGAGAGGAGAGTCTTCACAGGCAATTGACTTGTCCTACTTCTAAATCTGAATCGGTGGCGAAAGATACTCCGTATTGGAAAAGGAAGTTACTGCTGGCTTTGGTGTTTAAGGGAACAAATAAACTTGCATTGAATTTGGCAGGGGGCTGGAGGAAGGCAGTGGTGAAAATACCAGGAATTAAAATAAACTTTGGGCGTGGGACGTTTTCTTTGGTTAAACTGTATTTGCACAGAACCGTGTGTCACAAAACACGGCCCTACCCGAGTTCTTGTAGTTGCGTGTATGCTGGTTGCCATGCTTACTGCTTGCAGAAATCAGTATGCTTATTGGGAAGGGGAGGGCTAACAGCTACATCATTAACTTGATGCCATTCCTTCTACTAGTGATCTTCCTGTCAGTTTACCTTCCTTGATGCCCGTTTCATGTAATTGTCACTTAAGATACTCCTGTTCCGAGACAGCTTTGATGCGACTGTGGGAGGCTTTAAAATACAGTCAGTTAAGTGCCTTTGTCTAACAGTAGTAGCAAGGGCCCCTCCAGTAAGTTCTTGAGAATGAATGGGTAAGAAGTGCTAGAAAATACATACTAGCAGCTTTGTTTGACTCGACTGTTCTCTAATGACAGGGGGGAGGCTTTCATGTGATTGAAGTTCAGTGGTTGTAACTTGAATATACCTGAAAGTCACAGCTGTTTGTTTTTGCCTGTTTGTTTATCTATCTATCTATCTATCTCTATTTGCAGGAGCACCGCAATCGTGTGTTCCACGATTTCCGAAATGGCTTATGCCGCAATCTTGTTTGCACTGGTGAGAGTTCCTGAATGTTTTCCTGTTTCTGAAAGTTGTGATAGAAAGCGGATTAGGCGTTATCCCAGGTGTAATAGATCCCTTCATTTGTAATAAAGCAAAACAATATGTTTTGGTAAGACCTCTTGGTCACGCCTGCATGTAGCAGGGTGCAGCACCCCTTTAGGCATACAGGTTTTGTCTTTGGTGACAAACTGTGAAGGTGCAACTTGCTAACAAATCCTTTTACTGTGATAGTGTTTTCTGCACTGGTTACGTTTTCTGTACATTTTCACGTGTGAGTGCTCTCTGAATTGTTGGGCTATAAGCTGTACGAAATACTGGTAGAACTGTGACTAGGATCACCCGAGTAAGTTTTGACGGTTCCCTAAATGTTTACAGCTCATCTTTTCTAAATATTTTTATAGTTTTGATTGGCCTGTTTATGATCCGAGTTCTCCATTGTGCGGCTTGTTCGGACAGTACTGTGGCAGTGTCCGTGGATCACTACATGCGTCTGGGTCGTCTTAACGAAAATGACCTAGAAGCGGAGTAAAAATACTTGAGCTAGTGGGATGTAGTTCAGGTCTCAGGTCTGTGACCTGGGCGACGTGTGATCATGGGTGAGGAGGTGCTTGTATAAGAAGGCCTGCTCAGAAATAGTCTAACGTGGAAAAAGCTAGCTTTGTGCCAATTACGTTTTTTGGCACAGCTGTGCGGATCTGGTGTTTCGGTCATTCTTGTAGTATTGATGTTTAAAATGGATGAAGAGCGAGAAGCAGCCGTAATGGAATTGTACGTAAACTGCCTTTTGATACGAGGGAAACTCATCTCTGGAAACTAGTGCAAGCCAATGTTAATGATTGTTTATCTGTCCACCCTAAATACTGTCAGCATTTTGAGCTCATTGAAATTAACTTTCTTTGTGACCTGGATTGTCTTTCAGATCTGTTTACCCGAGGTATTGATATCCAAGCTGTGAATGTGGTGATAAACTTTGATTTCCCAAAGCTGGCAGAGACTTATCTCCATCGTATTGGCAGATCAGGTGAGAGGAAAACCATCTTTTGGGGACAACTTTGCTGATGACCTTGATGTTTCTTAGGCTTGAATTGGCTTCTGGTTTTTATTTCTGTATTGGAGAATTATTTGGGGTAGCTTTGATTTTTCTGATATTTTATTTTTGAGTATCATATCGGACTGCTATCCTCACAAATATCTGAATAAAGGGCTGTTGTCCTGAAACTGACCTGAACAGCCTAATGGGGGGGGGGGCGGGGGCGTTAAGCAGCCTGTTTTGCTTTAATCTCGGGAGGCTTACTGATGCTCCCGTTCGCAGTTTGGGAAAATTCTATGCTGAAAACTTAGCTTCCGTGGTGTCTTAAGTGTAGCTTTCTTCTGCGTGTGCTCCGAGGTACATTTCTAATGTCTGGACATCAGCAAACTATATTGATAAGAAGGGCAGTAAACGAAAGAACTCGGTGCACTTGAACTTGGTAGTTTGGGCTTGTTCAAGAACTCTGTTATGCTGGACGTGCATAATGCAGTAGTGGAAGATTTTTCGTCGATAATTAATGAGGAGGTTTGGTCAGAGCCTTTTGAACCTCCTGGGTTTTCTTATTCCTATAGCGGTATTGAAACTCTACCAAAAACTGTTGTGAAAGTTGTAGAGACCTGTGGTGGGGTCTGGATTTGCTTTTATCATCCAAGAGCGATGTTAATAACTCCACAGTCTGCAGACTTTTTCAACCAGTTCAGTATTGGTTTTGTTGTTGTTTTTTTTTTCTTAAAGGTCGCTTTGGTCATCTTGGCCTGGCCATCAACTTGATCACCTATGATGATCGATTCAACCTGAAAAGCATTGAGGAACAGTTGGGAACTGAAATTAAACCCATACCAAGCAACATTGACAAGAGCCTGTATGTGGCAGAATACCACAGCGAACCTGTAGAAGATGAGAAACAGTAAACATGTGAGTATGTAAACCTTCCTGAATAGAGAAGTCATGTTGGATGGAAGAATAGCTGATGTGTGAATGTTACCGCGGGGAAAGAGGGACCCTAACTGATGCGCTGAAGAAGGTCTGAATGTGAAAACGAGGGTTTGAAATAGACTGTTGGTGCAAGGAATTCTGTGGATGCGCTGAAGCTGGGAGGGGAGGATGAGCAATTCTTAGTTGTTTTAATTGAAATGCTGACCATATGCGAAGGAGACCAAAAATGGGGTAAAAGCGGGAGCGGGGAAAGGTGTTGGAGAGGCCAGGATGGCTATTAAGTAGCCTAAGGAGTTCTTTCTGTATTGCTTAGCTGAAACAAGAAATTGGTGAGGGTCAGAGAGGAAAGTGGCTCTCCGAAAGGTGAGGAGAGAAAATGGATAGCTTTGAGAACAGAGTACCATCAGCAGAGCCTAAGCATCTCACCAGTTAGAAGCAACACGTTCAAGCTAAAGGTGCTGCATCTTTTGCATCCTCTCATGGAACTCTTGCAAGTAAAGAAAGCTGTAATTCATCTTTTCTGCCACTGGAGGTCGTCTATGTAGCTTTAAGAGAAAACGAGGTTTGGCTGTCAGAGACTCCTCAAAAGTGTCCCTTTTCTGATCGTTGTCTGAGGAAAAACTGCTGAAAACGCCCTGGATTGCAGTCAGGCCAAATAGCTACAGGATGATGTTTAATCTCGTTTTAGTTAAGATGCCGTATCGTGCAAAATCAGACACGGCACAGCTTGGGTTGGAAATCGTTCTTTTATGTACTCTTCTCGGAGGTGATGAATTAGAAAGAGAATCCCAATGAAGCTGGTGAAATTCTTCTCTGGTGACAAAAAAAGTCGCCATAGAAGCAGACGGCTAGATAGCGTTAAAATGGATGTAAGTCCCTTCTTTGAAATCATGCAAGGATAGCGCTAGCTAGTGACACCAAGCTGACTTGCAGCCTCTGCTTTGCTGGCTGAGCTTTCTGCACATTTTATAAATAAATGGAAAAAAACCCAACAAACCAGGTGATGAGGAACTTGGAAAGGGCTCTTGGGTGGCTTCCTTACAGGGAATGCTGTGACTTTGCCTGAGAAGTGTTTGCCGCTTCTTGAAGGATGAGAAACGGGTAGGCAGTCATGCTCCATGGGCGTAGTAGGGCATTAGCAGCACCTTTTCCTGCAAAGCTGTGGTTGAGGTTGGGCTGTTCCAAATGCCCTTTGCGTTTCCATAGCTGCTGCATAGTCAGTGTGATGCATTATTTGCGTTGTGGTTTTGCACAGAATTGATTTAACTGTGGGTGTTGTGGTTGTTCTTTTGTTTTTTTAACTTATTTATTTTTTTAGGCTTTGATTACACATGCCAGAAGGTGAAGCCCTTTGATCCAGATCTGTGACACATCGTTTCTTTGGGGATACCCTTCTCTTTGTGGGTTTTTCTTCGTCTTTTCATTTCGGAACTATGAAGACTAAAGAGCTCGGCCTTTTTTTCTTTTTAAATTTGGCAGCAAGGAAGAAAGAAGATAAAAGGAGGAATGTTTTTTGTTTTTCCACTCGTTTGCACTGTGTGCTGATTGAACATTCGTTGCACTAACTGCTGGTTTTAAATTTTTTTTTTCTTTGGGTGGGAGGGGCAGCAAGGGAAGAAGAGAAACCCTGAAAAGAGAAGCATCTTGATGAATACGAGCTTGTCTGCTATTTCAAATTCTTCAACAGTCGACTGAGTGCATTTCAACTTCTCCCTGGTTACTCATCTGTTTTTAAGCTAAAGAGCTTGTTACTTATTCGTGCAAAGTGCCTTATGCTATGAGACCATTCACAGTATCACCTTTCCGACACAGCCCAAGGAATCAACAGCCGTTTTTGGTTTCCGGTCAAAGTTCCCCTCTCTTCCCCCTCTCCTCCTCCCCGAGTACTCAAGCCCAGGGCTGGGAGGTGACATGTATTGGTAATACTACTTTTTTCTTCAACTTTTTTTTTTTTTTCAATTGGAGGAGTTGATATGCATCTGCAGTTCACCCACACTGTAAATACCTGTATTTAAAACAAAACCAACATAAAATCTGGGCTGATTAGGTGCAGCATCATAGCTCCAGATGGAAAGAGCAGCCTGTCATCCTTTGCGGGAGCCATAAGAAAAGCTCTATGCTCTAGCAGAACACTAAAGACTGGTTTCCATAAGAGTCTCCATTAGTAGTTACAGCACTTGATATGTAGACTTGTTTCAGAGCCATGGCCCTCTTTCCTCTGGTGCAGTGTGTCCCATAGAAAATCAGATGTGTATATTGTACAAACTTTGTAAATATGATTTTTTTTTTTTCCTGTTTGGGTTCATATATAACTTTTTCTTTTGTGATGAAGGTTGCTGGGGTTAAAGGGATTAGACTGATTATGGGAGCAGCTAAAGATGAGAGGGGCTCAGTTTTCTGCAACACTAAACAATGGGAAGTGCTCTGACCTGTGTGAAGAGCAGGCCTCTACAAGCATCCCTTGTCAGGGTGGCTTTGCTCTGGTGCTAGCAACACTGTCCTGTACCGCTCATATGGAAGAGATCACTTATGGGGCGGCGAGGCCTCAAAATCTGCAGCCTGTTGGGAGATGCTCTTTGATTTCCCCCTTAGAAACTTCAGGAACCTGACAAGCTCTGAAGGGGGCCATGACCCGTGTTCCACCATGGCGCAAGGGAAATCTGGCCGGTGTCAGTGTTGCTGAGCAGTGTATGCGTAAGGTGTGTATTTGGGTTTAAGAGAAACCATGGAAAACCAATTTACATGCATAAACTGACAGTTCTGGAGCTTTACGGGATCGATTTACTTCCTGCAGCATTGTGCGTTTTCTGCCCAGAGCGGCTTCTGTACAGACTTGTGAGCAGGCAAGGGCAAGCCCCTGTTAATGTCAGAAGCTGCAGAAAGCTGCTTGCCATCTCCTCTGTTTTGGCATGAATTGCTGTCTGTCATTTTGCATTGTATATTGCTGAGAAGTGCTTTCTGGTCAAGTGGTGTTGCTTTAAATTGTGCCCCTCCCAACATGCTTGATGTTTGGCCTGATCTACAGGCAAAAGGAGTGAGACAAATCAAAAAACCGTGCTCTTTTTAAATTCCCTTTTAGCCTGTTCACCAACACCGTCAGGAGGCACCTGGACGAACGCGATCCCTTTCGCTCAGTTGTTTATTGCGTATACAGATGCTGCACTTGCACTGCGCTTGCTTACCTTTGAGGCAGGAGTTAATTGTCTTAATTTCTTCCCATCTGGACCCTTTTCTTAAATTCAAGTCAAATTGTTTGGAACTACAAGGCGGATGTACCTATCCGTTTCCTTGAGGATCATAAATAGAAGCCAGGTGCCTCCTGACAACAACTTTACAAGATGGAAAGTTTTTTGTGTTTGGGTTTTTTTTTTTTTCCTTTTGTCAGCAGTGACTCCGTAATTGTAGCAAATGCTGCACTAGAGTACAAACTCAAGAGCTTGGTCACAGATGCTCTGTGAGCCACACAGCTTACATCTGACTGGCAGGTACTAAATGTAAACAATTTTGGGGTGCTTTTTGGGGGCGGGGGGTGGGAGTTTGTGGGTGGTAACTTTGACCAAAAGTAAAATCTTGCTCTTGTACTGCAGCCAGCTTATGATTTTCCAGAGAGACAGGAGAGGGATCATTTTAGTGCAACAAGTACATGAAAACTGTAAATAAAAGTTTTGTATCTTAGCAGGGCACGCACATGTAACAAGAACAGGATAGCGATGTCGAGTCAGACGTGTGTGCTCTGCTTGGATTTGTGGTAGGTTAGCCTGGTGCCATGCGTCGATGGTCCCTCTTGAAGCACAGAACTTTTGAAAGTATTACTTTAAACTCGGCCTCTAATTGAGGATTGGCACTTACCTAAACTATCGGGGGCACCATTTTTTAGGTGGCTTCTTGTCAAGAAGGAAGCAGCCTATTTTTGGTGCTAGTAGGCTATCTCTAACGGATGCGATCTTGCAAATGGAAAGATGCTCCAAATGACTAGGGTAATCCTAGTTTTTTTTGGTTTTTTTTTGGGTTGGTTTCTGTGGTTTTTTTTTTTTGTTTTGTTTTTTTGTTTTGGGTGTTTGTTTTTTTGTTGTGTGGTTTTTTTTTTTTTTTTTTTTTCCCCTACCCAGGAGTAAGGAGCGTGTGTGAGTCTTGGCTTCCCGAGATTCTTTGCGAGCTCCTGTTTTTGCTGGTCACGTACCGGCCTTTACATTTGTGCGTTAGTCGGAGCCTTCAGTGATGAGCCCTCGGTCAAACACTTCCTCTGACAAAGATGACGTGAATGAGAATCTGATGCAGTCTGCATTTTTCCCCTCACAAGTCTAAAAGCGTCACTCGGTGAATCTGATGAAATGGAGCTTCATGGCTGGGTGAAGTGGCTGTGAAGAGGGTGACGCTGGTCTCTGGGTGTGCGCCGTCAGGAGCGCGTTACAGTTGCTGCAGGGCTTTTCCCGAAGGGAGGGGGGTGGGTTGGTCTCAAATAGATGTTTCGGTTTCCAGAATGAGATGGGAGCATCTTTCCTTTGCCTTCTGTGACACTTTTTTTGTGGGTAAGAACAGGGAAGCTCAACATGAGTTCATGTTGTGTACGTGTTGGTATCAAATCATCTCATTCTGATCTTTTGTTCTTTATTTTTTACTTGGGATGGGGGAGGGTGTCTGCTCCAAGGATTTAAAAATGCTTCACGCACTTGTTTTTTTTTCAAATGGCCGATAGGACGCAAACCTGAGCAGATGGCTGGCCTGCCTCGGTTTCTGTTCTAGAGGTTCTGGAGATGCCACGCCACATCTCCCGAGCTGCCGTTGTGGCGGTTCTTGTCCCAGTGCTGGACTTTGACGCCACTGGGGCCGAGAGGCTGTTGCTCTTTGAGGACGGAGCAAATTTTGTTCCCCGGCACGCCAGCGGTACGGCCACCGTGGTGAAGGTTGGGCAACAGCAGTCTGCACAGGGAGTTTTCCGATTGCTGTGAACTTCCGGTCCATCTTTTGTGAATCGCAGGTTCTCTTCAGAATAAACCGGGTCTCTGGACTAAAGAGCACGCATCCGATCTTCAAAACGAGGCCTTGGCAGATGATCCTATAGGTTTTGCTCAGTTCACCGTCGTGTTGCTAAAAATGTCCCAGCGTGGTGGAAGCATTGTTAAATTCTGCTGTAGACAAGTTACGGAAGGGTGAGGAGGGGTGGGGGGAGGGATGGGTTTTTTGAGATACAGCCTTGCTGTATTTTAACCAATAATTCTGGGGAAGGGTGTCAGGAGAAGAAAATAGTCACTGTTCCCTTTATTAAAAGAAACTGCAACTTTTATTTCAAGAAAAGATATTATTTGCGATTCAGGTGGAATGTCGTAATCCACCGGTCCCTAGCCAAGAGGTTGGTATTCTTACTGTTAACCAGCAAGCAACATGGACTAGTCCTTGGAAACATTCAGGGGAGGGAGGGGAAAATTGGCTTTCTGTTAAATCTGTAATTGGCAAATTCTCCAGTGGAGCTCAGATTTTGTTGAGAATGTATTCTCGCTGGCTGTATGTGCGTCGCAGCACTGACTTGTGAAGAGCTTCACGAGTTCCGAGTGCAAAAAAGACAAATGGCAAAATCCTGATTTTGTTGGTTAAAGTCAATAAAAGCTCCCTGGAACTCCAGACCGGTCTCGTGTTTTCTTTTTTTTTAACTGCGCCGAGCAAAAAGCACCCTGGCCTCTTTGTAGAGAACCCTGGCTCGTGGCGGACGCTTGCAACAGGCTTTGGGGATAAGGCTCAAGAAGAGGCGGCATCTTGGCAAAGGGCAAGGCTCTCCGCCTTTGAGAGTGAC